CACAAAACTATTTACAGAACAATGTTAATTTTGCAGTTTCATACAAATGGTAGACAATTGTATAATTATCAATATGTACTTGTATAAGATCAGGTAAAAATCGAACGCAAAAAATATACATTTATTTATTATATGAGTTTTATCGTTGTATAATTTGCAGCGCATTTCCATATATAATAAAATCACTCGCTTTCAAACAGACATAATTCGTCTTGATTAGGCAGATTTAATTGATATAATACAACAATAAAACTCGAGTTCAACAAAGAATTATATCTTGCGACATTTAACGGTAGTGTTGCGACATTTAACGGTAGAGAAAATTCGTGCGACATTTAACGTTAACATTGCGACATTTAACGGCAAATGATTTTGCGACATTTAGCGGCGGTTGCGACATTTAGCGGCAATGGTGCGACATTTAGCGGCAAGTGCGACATTTAGCGGTGCTGCGACATATAACGGCACCACAACGATCTTAAATCTTTGACGTCTCGCTTGTGCATACAAATATTGTTCTCTAGGCATGTTGTGTTACGCCGCATATATTTCTCAAAGAGAGCTTCATCCATTGCGCTGTAACGCATTTAGTATATCCCCCAGAAGCTATATTCGTCAATAGCATGCATCGGTTTAAAAAGTGATACCTCACTTCGACGAATAAAGTTCCCCGTCATGACTTTAAAACAAGAAAATGTTAACTTACATCATCATCGCCAAAATCATTATCATCACTTTCATCATCAAAGTCATTACAATCATGACCTCAATCAGCATTAACATCCTCATCACCGTCATCATCATATCAATAATCAACAAAATCACAATCTTAATCATCAAACCATATGTATTATCATCATCACCTACATACTAATTATCAAATTATAATTAACATCGCCTTCACCTAAATTATCATTATTATTCTCATATAAAAACATCATCACCATCATCATAACGTCCACAACATCATTATTGAAATCATCATCACGTCTGTCATCAACAAAACAATCACGACCTTCTGTCAACATTATTGAAACCATGATCACCTCAATCATCATTTTAATCACATTCTTAATTGTCATCATCTCCCTTAATTGTCATCATCACCATAATCATCATCATTTAAATCATAATCACTTCCATCATCGTCAAACCATCATCACTATAATGATCATCTAGTTACCGTCACGTCCTTGATCATCATCATAATCAACATAAAAATTATCTTTCCCTGCATCATCATTATCAAAATCAAAAACATTATCGTCTGTATCGTCAACCATATCTCATCATCATTAAATCATTTACTTCCATCATCACCAAAATCATAATAATTACCTCTTTCATCATTAACAATTTCAGTACTTCCATTATCAAAATTATCATTATCACCAATCATATTCGGTATCATTATCATTTCAATTGCATAATTACAAGAGATGAAATATCTGTTAAACGTTTATTTATGCAAAAAAGGGAATCAAAAAATAAGTTTGATATATATATATATATATGAAATATATCTTAAAATTCACATCGAAAAAACATAAAAATAAAATATAAATACAACATGTAAATTAATATTTTTAACTTCACTTACTTAAATATGAGGCTCTTTTTTATAAGAAAACTGCTTTTCAATATTATGAATTGATGCCTATGATGATGATGATAATAATGACAATGCATTGATGATGATGATGATGATGATGTTCTGATGATGTTGGTACCGGTATTGATGCTGATGATGAGTATGTCATATGATGCAATGATAATAATGATGAAGAGCATGATTATGTACTGTGATCACGATCCTCTTGAAACTGATGCACTGGTGACGATAATGTTGATAATGAGGAGGGGGATACTAATGCCTTGATAGTGATAATGATGATTTACTGATGATAAATAATATGTTGCTGATTATAATGATAATGTATAGATAATAATTAATAATGATGTTGATGATGTACTGATGATTTTTATTGATGATGATTATTATACTACCGCTGATAATCATGATGTTGTTTACTGATGATGATTTTGAAGATGGCGATGACGATGTACTGATTAGTATGTGGACGATTATGCTAATTATAACGATATGTAAAATGTTAAAATGACAGCATATGTAAAATTAAAAACATTAACAAAAACACAATCATACGAGTATGCCAAAAATTAATGCATGCCAATACTTGGGGATCTTTTTCCGTAAAACATGAACGTATTGACGTATACAGCTTTGTAGGAGCACATTTGTCTCGGAGCACATTTGTCTTACGTAAGACCGATGCGGTCGCATTTGTCCCACATGAGACAAATGGGACCTCAAATGTCTACCCCAAAAAACTCATTTGTGTGACAAATGTGCTCCAAACAAGTTTCTTAAGGGACAAGAAAGCACATTTGTCTCATGTGTTTGTAAGGGACAATAAAGCACATTTGTCTCATGTCTTTTTTATGAATTATTTGTCATATATTTCTCCACGGCAGAAGTTTTTTTTTAGAATCGAGGTTCGCCGTTTCACCCCATGTCAAGTGTAATCATCAATAGGTTTGCTTATGCTTTCTTGATGAAAACTTTAAGTGAACTATTAATTATAATATCTCTAATTCAAAAAATTGATTGGCTTAACCTGAAGGCGTACATTGAAACATACTAAATCCCGTTCACGATGGTACAATGGTGACAGCGCGAAAGCACGATGGTACGTTGATGAAAACGCCATGGTGCGACGGTGAAAACACAATGGTACGAACGTGAAACAACGATTGTGCGATAGTAAAACAACAATTGTACGATGGTGAAACAACGAAGGCTCGATGATGAAAACGTGATCGTACTATGGTGAAAGACGATGTTACGATGGTGAAAATACGATGGTACGGTTTGATGAAACTGCGATGGTATGATGATGAAAACGCGATATTATTTTCTCCATCGTGTCATCGCATCATCGTGATTTCACCATCGTGCCATCGTGTTTTAATCATCGTACCATCTCAATTTCACTTTTGTACCATTGTGCATAGCTGTTCAGGGAGTCTCGACAAAAATGTTACTTATGTCCAAACGAAACACCGTAATCGGTTGATATTGAATGATATAATATCGTGACTCGTTCTGCATCTCGCCGAAATCTCGCGTCTAGCGAAATCTCGCGTCTCGCTGCTCATCTCGTTCGTCGACGCGAGACAAGAAATTGATTCCAGGTCATATACCGTTAAGTAGTAGTCCATTTATAGTCTACATAAAATCACTTAAGGCCCATTATGCCAGAGAAATGCTATTATTTGTATTCTTTAAAAGTTTTTTATCTTATAGCTCCAAAAAGTTACTCATTGGCTAATTACCTGAAGCATTGTTTCATCTGCTGCTTTTTTGCAGTTTGTACAGTTGAAGTGATTTAGAATTTGTATTGAAGTCAAAATACTACTTTGTTTACATTTATCTACTTTCATGACGCATTATTTTACATTTATCGCTTACAAGCATCTTACTTCATAGAAATCATTATTTGAATATTAATAAATTCATACTTGCCCTATCTAAAGAAGTAAAAATTTATTCATTTCGGAAATCTCGTGGTACGGGATACTTCGACATTGCGAGATCTTGTGTTACAATATCGTGTCTCGCTTCGTGTCTTATCGGAATGTCGCGTCTCGCCCGATTCTGAGTGGCCCGATATTCCATAATTATGGCATAACCCGGATTATTTCAGGAACTCATGCATGTTTTAAGTGCTTTTTCAATGGCGGATCTGAGAGAATGACAATTTTTTATACATATATTTCTGATGGAAACAGAATAGTGTGTAATGGTCTTCTTATTTTCTTTTATAGATCATTTAAGGGCCTCCGTGGCCGAGTGATTTAAAAAAAAAACACTTGCCCCTAACCACTGTAGGCTCTAGACACATACACGGGCGTCGAACTATTCATCCGAGGATCCCGGTCAGGGTCCAAATGCGGAATACATATCCGCGTGCGCACGTAATTGCTATCACGTGCGCACGTAATAGTATCGCGTGGCCACGTAAAAGCTATCGTGTGCGCACGTAACAAATAAGAAAATTCTATGTCCTTTTTATGCCACCGTAGATACTACCTTGTTTTTGCTAAGAATATTTCTAGTGCCATAAAACATTTATAAAACTTTAAGCATTGAAAAATAAACGTATCACAATTAATAACGATAAGAATAGACTTGCTCCATATGTGTTTAAGTTCTGGATGCTGCACTTGTAAAAATTTTCATTGTGACATGCAGAACAGGTATATTCTTTATAATTTAATGTATGACTCCTATGCATTTTTGACTGACCGGAAGTGACCACAAAACGGTATTATAAATACAGAAAACACAGAACAATGGCTGGTAGCCGGTATACAGATGGGCATAATCATTACCTTTTAATAATGTTATGGAAAAATGTGAGACAAATGTGCTTCAAGTGTCCTTTCTATTGTGTGTCGAACACATCTGTCTCATTTCCAATTTGTCGCAAATATGGATGTTTACGAACACATCGGTCACACTTCGTGAGACAAATGTCCTCCGAGACAAATGTGCTCCTACACAGCTTCCCTCTGTCTGGAGCTATTTTCATTGCTATTACTAATAAAGCTCTCCGGAGAACTAGCTATAGGCGGCGTAACACTGCTGCATTAACATATAGACTTATATCTGTCGACAGCCTCGTTCAAATTACTTCTATTTAATTTATAAAATTTTCTTTAATCTATAAAATAAAAAATCAATGAATTACTCAAGACAATTATGCAAGGTATCCTCATATGCATGCATCATTAACTATTTTTACAAGGTCTATTGCATCATATACAAGAACGAATCTTGTTATTTCATTACGTTAATCTTTCCTTTTTTCATATGTCATGACGTCTTTCATACGATTATCCGTGCCGTTATCAATTGAGAATCGAAAAATAAACATCACATAATCTAACGTGAGTGAAAAGAAATGAAAACTTACTATTATATTGCGGTTTGGTGCAAATGAAATTTGCATTAGATGAGCAATCTCTGTCGCTAAACACTCCTGTCATACGAAGAACACCACAGTTTTCTATTCCTGCTACATTGTCCGGCTCTTTCTGCCAAGATCTTTTGATAAAAATTGTTTAATATTTACGACGATAATAAAGGGATGAGCCAGCGTTCAAATCATGTGTTCAAATATTTAAGGTAATTTGCCTCTGGTCGCATCAAACTAGTATACAGCTTGCATCTGATATACATATTACGCATTAACTAACAAAAATAAACTGTCTATGTCAATAGTAATAATAGCAGAAAGAGTTTAAGGTGTAACACTGATAGTATCGTATCGTATACGCAAATTTTGTGGGATATTATAAGGCATTATATTTTAAGATATTATAGAATATTTACAGTAATTACAACTACAACACGCACCCTTACGCAAGGTTGTTTAAGACGTACTTACATAACGCTGGTATCAAGATTTGCGCCTGTGTACCAACCCCATGAGCCTCCGGTATTCTGCTGCAGTCCAACCCAGTGGACCTTTGTCGTCTGCGATAAGTAAGGAATCTCTCCCGACAAAAAAGTCTGTTTTAAAGTAAATTTGTGTTTTATCAAAGAAGAAAATTTGACCAAATGTTTATATTTAGATATGTATATCCAATTTATAAGACAAGCAAACTGATTTCTTTTCAATGTTTGCTGTAGTGCTATGATCCTTATTCTTTAATCAAGCATACAAGCTTTTGAAAAAAAATATGTGACAATCTCTGTAATCAAAACATCAAAAGAAAATTTTCTTTTCACTAGTCATTAAATACGTTAATAACATACTTTGTACTTTTTAGTGTTATGTACTTACCACGTCATTCTGGTCATCAATAATCATCATCTTAGGATTTACCGCACCACCTCCCATACTCTCACAAAATGTCTTGGCTTGAGCCCATGTCTTCAGGGCTGAAGGATCAGAGGTGTTTGCCACATAGTAGCAAGAATCTGTTCCTTGCAACCAACCGAGTACACACCCACCGGCTACAACCAAAGAGATAGAAATAATTTAGGCCCACTATTCTAACAAAATTATTAGCATCAAATGTGTAAGTTATTGCTTATTTTTACAGTTTCTAATATCTTAAAGAGTCTTTTCATTTTTATTTTTCGGACAATTAACTGTAACACAAATTATTTTAAATGCACATGTCTTTAACTTGTCTGGTAGAAAACGATTCCCGGAAAGAAAAGTAAATACAATAAAAAAACTTACATGAAGGATATTGGCAAATGTATCCTTCATTGGCTTTACAATTTAAGTCAGCCAATTTTCCTTGTATATTTACAGCCCCGCATGTTGATTGGCCATCATTTGCAGGAGACTGGTTCCATCGGCTGTAAAAAATGATATTCGTGTACAATAAAGCCAGTGTCAATGACCGACCAGCACGGGATAATGACTAGATATCAAACCTGTCACCAAGAGAAACCTTTTATTATTTAATATTTACAATGTCGAAACTTAATCAAAGTTCGTAATCATCAAACATGATCACGGTACTCAATGTAAATACTCAATAATGGATAATCAATCAATGTTCTCGTCAGACTTGGAGCCAATTACATGTAATAGATATACCATTGCTGCGTTGACGATTTCTGGGTTGGCGTAAATTATACCATAATCACGTGACCTTTCTTATGCCTTAACCTCACGAGACGAAGTCCTCGTGAGGTTAAGGCATAAGAAAGGTCACGTGATTATGGTATAATTTACGCAAACCCAGAAATCGTCAACGCACCAATGGTGTATCTGTTTTAACCTATAGCTCCGCCCAGAAACACTTACTCCTTCGATCTTCAAAACTGAAAATTATACCATAGTCTGGGTATGGTATAATTTACGGTAATTGGAAATTATACTTGGAAGAATTTTACATAAGAGGCGCTGAAGAGCTATAGGTTAATTAAATGTATAACATTACAATTACATGCATTATATAAAATTACAGTTATGCATTAAATTGCAATACTTTGGCAAAAGAAATACATTTTCATAGCTTTACATCTGTTGTTTTATACACAGGTGGTATTTCACTGAAAAACGAAACGGGCTTAACTTCAACATAGTGAAAAATATCAAATTGATAATTTCATTGTTTCATTGTTACAATTCTGCCAAGGGAGGTTATCACTGTGAGGAGTTTGGTACTGTGCCAAATTAAAATTAAAAAGCTAAAAAATATATACAGTGAAATTTGAGAAAACCGGACGCTGAGAAAATCGGAACTCTCTAAATACTGGACGAATAATTCAGTCCCAAATTTTCCCTTCTTTAAACTATTGTATTAAACATTGACTATACCGGAATCTGTAAAAACCGAATATCGGACGGTTGATAGGGGACTACAAAGTCAATTATATATACAATTACCCTGACAATACCGGACAACGAAGGTGTGAATAACCTTGTGTACGTGTCTAATACGCTAACTGAGCGGTAGCAGAACAATGATTGTCTGATTTGTTTAATTATGTCTCATTTCACAGTTTGAATTTTTTTAAGGTATAGATGTTACCGTTTTATATAAATGCCAAAATGCACGAGGCATTGATAAGTTAAAATCAGTTGACGAGAACTGTCTATAAGTGACAAATTTAAATTAATTAAAGACAGTGAAACTTTGCCAAGACCTACTTTAAAAATCTTTATCTGACAAATATGTTATAGGCAATATTTACTATTGGGGCATTATTATAAACAAACTAGGTAAACTACATGTATGTTTGTTAAATTATTATCCATTACCCAAACGTAAACATATCCGGGTGTAATCGGACTTTATCGTTATGAGGTAACTGCTGTTCGTTTAAATCCAAAATTTTATTGTATTTATATGCAATAATTCGGACAAAAACAATGAAAACATATTGTATAGTATTTTTATCATTTCTTTATTGAGCAATATACTTACTCATAATCATGAAAATGCAAATATACGTTCAGCATCCTTTGTAAGTCATTGCTCGGTTTATATGATCCTGAACAGCTGAAGGGGACATTGAGAATACCGGACCGCTGAGAAAACCGGACAAAACCCTCGGTCCGAGAGCCGTCCGGTTTTCTCAACTTTCACTGTAATATCAAAATATTGATATTTAAATGTTTGTGATGGCAGAGGTCTCTGTACTGATAAGGGGAGATCACTGCGAAGGAGATTTGTACTGTGCACGCTGGTGTTTCACTAAAAAACGTAACGGGCTTAAATTCGAAACAGGGAAAAATATCAAATTGATAAAGCAGTGAAATTCCACGATAAAGTGTCTTGCAAAAAATGACTTTACAATTTTCTTAGCAATTTGATATAAATGATATGGACCAGATATACTGGAAAATAATCTATAACGTAGTGAGAAAAACATTATAAAAGATATTTCTAATCTAGGATCTCGCAACCTTATAGTCCTTCGGTTCATTAAAAGATGTTTAAAGGTATTCATAGTTCTAGAAAACATATCATGTCTAGAACTTCATAGAGGGCCAAATAAAAATTGATTAAATAATTTTGATAAATTGTCTTCTATGGATCATTTAAGATATTCTTTTCTTTGATTCTTTATGATATCTTAATATTCCAAAACTACGACTGTGCCTAAAGTTACAACAGTGATTGTTGTTTTTTTGCGTGTGTTTGTGTGTGTGTGTGTGTGTGTGTGTGTGTGTGTGTGCGTGTGCGTGTGCGTGTGCGTGTTAAACGTTTAAGATGACTTTTAAAGCATGATCATTTATACATGAGATCTGATATGTTAAATAAAAACATACGAGTATATACATACTTTTAGCCGAAGGACTGCAGTGATGTAAATCATGTCCGTCAATTGACAATAATGCATCATAATACATTATATTATAACTTTTAAATACGTCGTCATTGAACAATCGCATTTTTATGACACGTTTATAAGATGACTACAGTAATTTATTATGATTTTTATTATTTTTATTTTATAATGTTTAATCATGTTCTTCATTCTTTATAAAAAAGAGATAATAACTTCGTTTATTTATAACTTTGTTTATGTCCACGTCTCTGCTGAAGATGAAACGACCATTTTCATTGACTAAAATAAGTCGTGGCCTCAAGATAATAGATAATAATTAAGGCCAGCCCGCTTAGCTCAATTAGAGCGCGAGACGTGTAATCTCGACATTGTGGGTTCGATTCCCGGGCTGGCTAACTAAAATTACTAATCAGTCTTTCGGTGAGGCTTTAAATCGAGGTCCCGTGTATGAGTGCTTAAACACTTGGCACGTTAAAGAACCAGGGGAAGCTTCTGGAATTGGGGCATCTGTCTGTATCTGTGTCTTGCACTATCCTCCAAAATATAAAATGACTTATACTCTTTTGGAGGACTAGCCGATATGGGCAACCGGTGAAGAGTATATAAAAACTCAACACACACACACACACACACACACACTAATAATTAAGTCATAACCTCAATGTCGCGCGTGTCGCTTAATGTCGCACCATTGTAACTAAATGTCGCCATCGCCGCTAAATGTCGCAAAATCCTATGCCGTTAAATGTTGCAATGGTAACGATCAATGTCGCACGACTTTTCCTTGTCGTTAACTGTCGCAATACTACCGTTTAGTGTCGCAAGATGTATATAAAATGTTTATGTGACACCGGATCTGACAAATAATCAGAGAAAACTGAGCTTTTTGTAATCAAGGCAAGAAAGACGTAAGAGAGAGAATTGAAGGCGAGACTGACCTTGTAATTCGCAGAGGGAAAATATTGAAAACAGCAAAAATGATGGAACAGGCCATTCCTTTACATCAGTGACAAGGTAGGGTACGTCGTCGTGGTGGTTAGGGAAATGGACACGGAAATTCAGCCATTTTGGCTCTAAAGTGGATAGTGCAGGCTGCACAATTGTTTTGTTAACAGTTCAAGTTTCAACAGTTCCATAAGTAGTTTTAACATGTTCCTATAGTTTAAACAGTTTAGAAGAGAGTAGAGAGTTCTGATTTTTAAAACTCTTCGACTATTGAGGACAGTTTTGTAAGTTTGAATTCCACTGTACAGGGAGAACAACACAATGTAAATAAGTTAAAAAGTATATTAAACAAATCAAGATGGACTATTGAATAAAATAAATGAATTAATTGTGTGGTTATATCTATACACAAACCGGACATTATAGTTATTTATGAAATGTTTCCAAGAAATTGTGATCAAACAAATATTCACCCATGTGAATTTAAATAACCAGGTTACAGTATAGTTCATTTGTTGGGAATATTACAAAAAAAATGTAGAGGAGTTATTTTTCTTGTGAAAGACGTCAAATCAGCTGAAAAGTGTGAAAACTTAAATAAGCTACCTATGAAAGAATCTTCTTGGTGCGAAATTAGACTAAATATAAAACAGAAATTATTTATTGGTGGAATATACTGAAGTCCAAATAGTGACAATGTTAACAATAATATATGTTAGACTTATTTACTCATGATTATTTTAAGATACACAAAAATTTGGTCATTGTCGGAGATTTTAATTTCCCGAAAATCAATTGGGGTCATAGGCAATATATTATGAAAACCATGTTTTGTATACATTTATTGAAAACATTTACAGATCATTTTTTGTTTCAACACGTATATCAAAATACTCGTTATAGAATTGGGCACAATCCTAGTTTTTTAATAGATTTGTTATTGGGACTAGTAAACAACGTTAGATACGGTGATAAGTTAGGAGTCATTCAAATGAGTATCCATTGATATCATGGTTAATCTAGCTCTGAGAGCTTATTAAAATAGTTGAATTCTTTAAATACTTCAAAAGCTGCAGGATCAGATAATTGTCATCCTATTTTCTTCAAAGAATGTGCACATAAGCTTTATATGCCTCTACACACTTTATTCTCATAGTTATTACAGGAAGAAATATACCAGATGATTTGAAACTAGCAAATGTAACTTATATTTATAAAAAGAAAGTAAAACAAATATGATCCTAGTAACTACCGTCCTGTTTCATTAACTTCTATCGTATGTAAAATGCTGGAGCGAAATGTTAGACAGGGAATTATTGAACATTTGAAAAGACATGATATGTTGTCAGATATTCAATTTGGATTTATAGACCACAGAAGCATAATTTTACAGCTTTTATCAGTATTGGATGATTGGACCGAAGCTTTAGATGAAATCTTACAAGTTGATCCTGATTATTTTTATTTTGCTAAGGCATTTGATACGGTTCCCCATAGCCGTTTGCGTCATAAACTTTCAGCATAATTATGGCATTACAGAGAAATTTTATCAATGGATTAAAAGTTTTCTTTTAAATAGAAAAATGGTGTATTCATTAAATACAATA